GGAAGAATTACTTCAAAAATTAGCCGAGTTGGAGATGCAACTCAGAAAATCTATATATGATAGGTGTAATGAGTCTTCATAATTGTTATTTGTGGTATTAATAAGCGAACATTTTTCGCTTAGTATTCAAGCTTTACTAACCCACATCCACCTCGTGAGACAGATTTCGATATTGTTGTAGCACCGAAAAGGACCAAATCATTCAAGTAGCCCGCCACTATAGAATCTACAACTATCGAGGAATTTAAAAAATCTATTTATAATATATACAAAACACCTACTCTGGAAAACCCAGCAGTGGTATTAAAATTTCTGAGTAATGGCGACCAATATTTCCCTAGAAACGATATCGCATTCTGAGAGATTTTGCGATCGTTAGTATCAAAAAGTAGCTTTAAGTTCACCGTATTTATTGAAACACCCTCAAAGCTATTTAACAAGTGGATATTTCCAAAGATGTATCAACTCTATGAACTTAGCGAGGATCCAAATCAAGACATTGATGTGTACTCTGTTTTTTTGTGTGGTTCTGTGGACCTAAAATGCAAAAAGTTCCAAGATGTGGTTAAATATTTAATAGCTGAATTGGAACTTCGACAAAAAACTACTCCACTTAACATGTCATATGAAGCAACGAAATCTATCTATTCTTATTGTTATCTTGCTAGCAGAATATCAGTCTACGAAAATAATTTCAAAATCGTACCGGAAAAGCTTGTCATGAGACATAATGGGCAGGGAAATCTCGATTATGCGATAGAGTGTCTTACAACTAATAGGATCATTGGTTTAGTTGAAGTAAAAAAAAGATGACTTCAAACAGGGCTTCGCTCAAGCTACTGTGCAGATAGAATCATCCTTGACATGCCAAAAGTGCAAAGCAAACGAAATAAATGATGAATGCGGTTTGGATAAAGTATGGGGATTGTAACAGATGCGGAAAAATGGTACTTTATAGAATATACTCTAGATAAGGGAAGGCTATCGTTCAAGCTATTAGAACCAGTAACCGTTGTATATATAAGGATAAAAATATGCAAATGAAAGTAGAAAGAGTTCTAAGTCATATTATATGGTTGTTGAAGGAGGCACTGAAGCCGGTGGAAGCCTCACCTAATAGAGAGCAATCGAGAGTGCTAAAAAAGCAAAAGTCATCATGTAATCTTATAGACACATCGAACTAGTTTAGTCTAGTTAGGTAAATTACTCTATTTTGGTAAAGGCATATGTTATTTTCAAATATGTCTTGATACTTTGTAATTTATTTTTTGTATTATTTTTGTATGCTATTCATGTTATACAAATAAAGCATGTCTTTGTTAATTTTTCGCCTGTTTGTGTCGTTAGATATTAATTTTTTTTGGAATCACATGAACTGAAATATACTAAGTCTCTTGTTTTTGAAAGCATCTAGTATGACAGAAAAAA